CGCCCGCAACCTGCTAGCGCGCCTACGGTGCCGTGGAGACCTTGTACAGGTAGGACCTTATTCCTCTTGATCTTACTCTCAAGCGAGTGCACTCACAGGCCCTAGCGAAACTAAAGCCCCCCACTGGCTTGTCAATAGTAGGCAGCCGACGCAGCCTTCACCGCCTTGTTCCAGCTATCTCCCTCCAGGTAGCTTCCTTACCTCATCGTTCCCTTGCGCGGGATCTTCGTGCGCCCACGCGGGTCGGCATCCATTTCTGCCTGGCCCGCCCTGTCCGCAGCGGCCACGGCCTTCGCAATGGCTGCTGTAGAGCCTGCCGCGTTGGGCGGTGCCGCCCTCGGGTTCACCACCTGATTAGTCCCATCTCCCAGGATGGCGTCCAGCGCGGCCACGGCCAGCACCGGGTCCGTCGGCTTGAGCCCGATCTCCAAGGCGTCGAGCATCTCAGGGTCAGCCGCAACGCCGCGTAGCATCACGTGACCACGGCCAGCCCCTGCTCCCCTCTTGTTCGCGAAGCTCGCACAGCACTTGAAGGCAGGCAGGTTGGCGACAGTCTTGACGAGCTGTGCCTGAGACTCGAGCAAGACCCGGTAGTTGTCACGATCCAGAGAGATTTTTCCATTCGGCCCAAACCCGGTCGTGGTAAGCGGAGGCACCGTCTGGTGGCGGTGGCCGCCCGGCTGGGCAGTAGGGGCCGCGCCGCCCACACCTTCGATTCCCTTACGATGCACTGGGTACCTCCTCCTGTACTTGACCGTCCAGAGAAGCGCCTGGAGCTTGGCCACCAAGACCACGCCTCCTGAGAAGGGAACGCTGTGACGATTGAGCTCCTCTAGGGACGGCAGGATCGCGCTGAGGAGGGCCATGTTCTCAGGAAGTGGCTCACAGAGAGCGCTCAAGCGCGCGTCGAACCGAGGTAGCGAACGGCTCCCAGGATTGGCACCGCCCACGAAAGCCAGGAACGGCAACCCGTTCGGCCTGTTCCCGTCCGCTCCGATTTTGCTGATGACAAAATCTGATGCGCCAGGCCACTCCACGTCGGCAGCCAGGATACCGTCGCCATTTGCTAGGTAGAAGTCGAGTGCAAGGCCCTGCAGCATCAACTTATTGATGAACGGCCACACTTTCCGGTCGAAGTTCTTCCGGAGGTCCTCCGTCATGGTGAACGACCTCTCCTGGTCGTCCCCTTCTTCTTTCATGCTCCTGAGGAATTGGACGTTCGGCCAGAACGACGGTTCCGTCGAGCACAAGGCCAACATTGTAGCGATGTCGATCCTCTTCACCTACAGCTCCGCCAACGTCTCCTCGAGAGTGCCGTCCGTGGCTAGATCGAGGAGTCCTGCGCCCGAGGGAACGTGAAGGTTTGGCAAGGCTCCACCACCGCTCCATTCGGCGTCGGACACTGTGCGAATCATGCTCGGTGGGATAACTCCTGCCATGATCAAGTCCAGCTGGGCGACAAAAACCCATGGCTCCACTTCGTCGTTACTGCAGTAGCGCGCCACCAAACCTAGGATTTGGGTCCCTCCGATCACTTGATGAGGCTGGCCCTCGCCTCCGTTCGCAGCCAGCCAAGAGTTAGCAGCTGGTGGATTGGCCCAGACTGCGCCTCTGAAAGGCATGACAGCGAGCGCCCCAAGGCTGTATGCCCCCTCTGGGAAGGTGATGGGTGACTGGCGCCCGCTGTCCGCCGCATTGCCCATGACCACTGCCCCACCATCAGCTCCAGCCGCAAATGCGGCGGCCTTAGCCTTGCCAACTGCCTTGGCGGCGACAGCAACCGGAGGTGCGGGCTTCGGGTTCGGGACCTTAGCAAGCAAGCCCGCCAAGTCATTGTACTTGGCCTTCGCCGCCGCGTTGTACTTGGGCGGCATAGGCGGGTGGGCGGCCGCGCCCTGCGGCGGCCGCGCCCTACAACGACCACTACTACTACTGCTACTACAACTACTACCGCCACCACTACTCCTACTCCTACTCCTACTCCGACTCCTACAACTTCTCCTCCTCCTCCTCCTCCTCCTCCTCCTACTACTACTACTACTACTACTACTACTACTATTACTACAACTACTACTACTACTACTACTACTACTACTACTACTACTACTACTACTACTACTACTACTACTACTACTACTATACTACTACGACTACTACTACACTACTACTACTACCACTACTACTACTACTACTACTACTACTACTACTACTACTACTACTACTACTACTACTACGACTACTACTACGACTAGGACCGACTACGACTTACGACTACTATACTACTAATACTACTACTACTACTACTACTACTACTGTACTGACTACTCGTAACTACTACTCGTACTACTACTCGTACTCCTACTCGTACTCCTACTCGTCTCCTACTCGTACCGTACTACTACTACTACTACTACTACTACTACTACTACTACTACTACTACTACTACTACTACGACTACTACTACTACTACTACTACTACTGATGCTACTACTACTACTACTACTGCTGCTGCTGTTGCTGCTGTTGCTGCTCCTACTACTACGACTACTACTACGACTACTACTACGACTACTACTACTACTACTACTACTACTACTACTACTACTACTACTACTACTACTACTACTACTACTACGACTACTACTAAGACTACGACTACGACTACTACTACTACTACTACTACTACTACTACTACTACTACTACTACTACTACTACTACTACTACTACTACTTACTACTAACTAACTACTACTAACTACGAGCTACTACTACTACTACTACTACTACTACTACACATACTACTACTACTACCACTACCACCACCATCACCATCACCACCACCACCACTACTACTACGACTACTACTACTGCTACTACAACCTACTACTACTACTGCTACTACCACTACTACTACTACTACTACTACTACTACTACTACTACTACTGCTACTGCTGCTCCTAGTACTACTACTGCTTCTGCTGCTCCTAGTACTACTACTGCTTCTGCTGCTAACGCTACTACTACTACTACTACTACTACTACTACTACTACTACTACTACTACTACTACTACTACTACTACTACGACTACTACTACTACTACTACTACGACTACTACTACTACTACGACTACGACTACGACTACGACTACGACTACGACTACGACTACGACTACGACTACGACTACGACTACTACGACTACGACTACTACTACTACTACTACTACTACTACTACTACTACTACTACTACTACTACGCCCACTAGCACGCACACGAATACGACTGTTACTGCTACGACTGGTGGGACGACGACGACGATGGCGGCTATTACGGGCACTACTATAAAATATATATCGTTGTAGTAGTAGGGCAATGCACTGCAATAGCTACTGGTAACTTTAAGGAGCCCTTAGGGTGTCTCTAAGGAGCCTCTGAGGGGCCCCCTGGGAAAACTCTGGGGAAGCCCTGTGGAGCCCCGAAGGAGCTTCTAAGGAGCTTCTCGCGAGCCTCTAACAAGCCTCCAGGAAGGCTCTTAGGAGCCTCTAAAGGGCTTCTCGCACATGCAGCTTTTCACGCAAGTTCTACTCAAGTTTGCCTCGAAAGAACCCAAAATACTGGAAATGATCTAACATACCAAGAAAACATACTTGTTCAACTGCAGATCCGACTTCTTCTCGCCCCTGTTGAGAAGCAACTTGCGGTGCGCCCTCAGAGGTTCCTCGGGATTGAACTCCCTGTTGGTTCCCGCCGGGAGCCCAGCGGCCCGCGCTAACGCCCGCGGGGGCCAGCTGCGTCCGCGGAGACCGGCGTGGCGTCGAGGCCGTCGCTGGGGGTAGAAACGCTCGGAATTGACTTCGTCATCAAAGTTATCCATGCCCGTGCACCTCGAGTGCGCCCTCGTCTGCACAGTACGCCAAACTCTCGATGTACGTCCCAAGCGCGTTGACCCTACACGGCCAGGGGTTTGGTAGTGTGCTCGTCCTTCGCTGATGTTTCGCCAGCCTCTCCGTCCTGTGCGGCCCGCGAGTCACCTGCAACACCTTCGTTTGCGCTCGTTCTGGCCTTGATTTGAATTACGCAGCCATGGCCTCGAACATGGCGGGGAGCTTCTGGTACTGGTACTCCGTGTTCCACGGCGCAGGCGATGCGTTGCCAAAGCCGTCTCCACCGACGCGGCGGGAGGGAGCAAGCTGCTGCTCCACGGCCGTGTTTGCTGCCCGAGCGAGTGTGGCAATGTGCTGTGGAGCTTGCACGCGATCCTGCACGCCCAGTTCGTTGATGTTCCGCGTCAGAGGCACCCCCAGGTCGGCTTCCTTGGTCCAGCCAGGATGGGACCCACGGGCGGCGCCATCTTTCATGAAGTTCCGTCAGGCAAGCCGAGGGGGCGGTGTTACTGCAGGATCATGCAGGATCTCACAGCAAATTTGCTTCAACAGGGGCTCATCAAGTCGCTGAAAAAAACTGCTTCAAACAGAAGTATTCCTTCCGCCTGGGATGCTGTACAGCCTCGCAGGAGAACATCTTGAGCAAACATTGTTGTTACGGGGGCGGTGTGGAGACGGAGGCGTTGGGGAACGGGCACGATGGGGAAGACAAGGAGGATGGAGGAGGAGGGATATGAGGACAAGGGCAGGCGGGAATAGCGGGACTCGTTAAACGAGGAGGGCAATCAGACCCCGAAGACCTCAACCCCCAGAAGGATGCTCCTCTCCACGGCCTACCAGAAGGCGACTCCCCCAGGGCCTACTCCTAGGAGTGGCGGGCCCGTGGCCAGGGGCAAGCAGGCTTTCCCTGGCCCACGGTCCTGGACCATCTACAGGGAGGGCGATGATGGTATTTTCTACCAGGCATGGACACATCTCCTACCTCATCCCTTTTCGTCTGAAGGCTCTCCTCATCGAGTCTCGCGCGCGCGCGTGCTAAACAAAAACACTTCTGTCACTTCGCACGCTGACTAGTTACATCGGCGGGAATTGTCACAAGCCATCGGGCATGACATCTAGGCTGGCATGACGGTGACCGCCGCACCACACAGCCCAGCATCCTTGAGGGTCATGCTGTCGTCCGTGATGGGCTTCGGTGGGAAACCTCCCTTGATGGCCATCGCCTGGAGTCGCTGCAGGAAACATAACTCTGGACATGCCACATACACCTATGAGTGGGGTGGGGAGGATGGGGTGGGCCACTAGATGGATCTCGGTTATGGCTGACTGGCTGGCGAGATGACTAAATCAAGCTTGACGCACTTATCCCGTGGAGGGTGCTGCAATTGCCCACGACACCAACGCTGCCACCGGCTGTGTCGTCAGGCTGCACGGCGTTGCTGTAATGACTGAGCCAGCGGGTTGGCTACAGAGATCGAAAAGAGCCCTGGTTGTACCCCCAGGGGAAAAAGCAAAGATCACCTGGCCACCCACGCACTGCTCGCAGAAGCGCCGCAAGTCCCCAACAGTCTGCTCCTGGTTGAACTCCTGCGCCTTCTTCTGCCCGTCGTGGAAGCGGATCTGGATCTTCGTCTTCGGCTTGGAATCGTCGACCTGGACGCTGCCCTGGCCAGCCACTACGGTGGGCGCCGCCGCCGACGACGAAGACCTTAGAAGGACCCCGCCGTTCCACACTTATTTCTTCGGGGGCGTCCAAGAGGGGTGTGTGCAAATCATGACCCGAGGCACGTGCGCGGACCAGGGGGGGCCAGGGAACGTATTGAAATAAGAGGAGGTCCCATGAAATCTGGGGAGATATCGTGGCCCTGGCCATGATATCGCCCCCCCCCCCTAGTCTTCACCCCCCTCTTGGCCGCCCCCGATCTCTACGGCCAGGTCGTGACCCTGATGCAGCCAGGCGGTCCGCCCCAAAGCGGCGCGAGCACCCTACCGATCCAGGGACTATATCCAGATCGGCGGCCTCCTCGGGCACTGATCGCCAGAGCAGGGACTTCTGGGGCGATGACCCGCCGAGCGTGTTCCCCTCCCCAGAGAAGTTCACGCGCGCGGGAGCGGGCGGCCCCTGCGAGCAGGGAAAGGGCGGGAAGAAGACTTACGCCTGCACGCCTGGGCCTGCTCCACCGCTGCCTCTGCGAGGAGCGGGGAGGCGGAGGAGGGGAGCAGGGAACATGTGGGAGAGCCTGGTGGGCAGCGGCGGCGAGGAGCTCTCAACCTCTGCACCCCTCATCTGGAGCCATCCTGCCTGCCCTGCACCACCTACCCTCGCGCATCGCGCCCTGAGATGTGCGACGCGCGGTATATTCGCGTTGTGACACCGACCCCCCGAAGAGTGGCAGCTCTCCGGCGACGTGGGAGTCGCTGCTATCTTTGTGCCCCCAATCACTCCGACGGTAGGACCCCGCACGAGAATATGTTTAGTTCCCCAATCAGAGCTTGCCTCTGTAGGGGTCCTGGCGGATTCATATGTGTAGGTGACCTGCGTCGCCGATTTCGGTGGCCAGCCCGGGTGCCCGGGTGCCGTGCCCAGGTGCCCGGGTGCCCAGGTGCCCGGGTGTCCAGGTGCCTGGTAGCTCTATAGCCCTACAGCCCTACAGCCTGATAGCCCTTTAGCCCTGTAGCCCTAATAGCCCTATAGCCCTATAGCCCTACATCCCTAATAGCCCTGTATCCCTATAGCCCTGTAGCCCTGTAGCCTATAGCCTTATTGCCCTATAGCCTTATAGCCCAATAGCCCTATAGCCCCGTGGCCCTGATAACCCTATAACCCTACAGCCCAATAGCCCTATAGCCCAATAACCAAATAGCCCTATAGCCTTATCGCCTTATAGTCCTATAGCCCTAGAGCCCTGGAGCCCTATAGCCCTGTAGCCCTATAGCCTTACAGCCGTATAGTCCTATAGCCCTATAGCCTTATAGCCCCATGACCCTATAGCCCTACAGCCCTATAGCCCTAGTAGCCCTATAGCCCTATAGCCCCATAGCCCTATAGCCCTAAAGAGATTATGACTGTTTTGTTTCTCCGGTATCATTTGTCCAACGCCCTTTCCTCTTCGCCCTGACAGAAGCCCCCCTCCCGTCCTCTGATTGGCGTCTTCTTCTTCTTCTTCATTTTATTTTTCGTCCTCCCCCTCCTTTTCATCTTCGTCGTCGTCCTCCTCCTCCTTATCCTCCTCCTCCCATATGTATGATCGTCCTTCTCCTCCTTTTCCTCGACTTCCTCCTCCTCCTCCTTCTCCTCCTCCTTCTCATGCTTTTCCTCCTCCCACTCCTCCTCCTCCTCCTCCTCCTCCTCCTCCTGTTCCTGTTCCTGCTCCTCCTCCTCCTCGTCCTCCTCCTCCTCCCTCCCCTCCTCCTCCTCGTATCAGTCGTGTGATTGTGATTGCTATTGTTATTAGTACTAGTAATAATATTAGTCTTCGAACTACTATTATTTACTACTACTACTACTATTCCGAGTAATATCAATACTACTACTACTACTACTACTACTACTACTACTACTACTACTACTACTACTAATACTACTACTACTACTACTACTACTACTACTACTACTACTACTACTACTACTACTACTACTACTACTACTACTACTACTACTACTACTACTACGACTACTACTACTACTACTACTACTACTACTACTACTACTACTACTACTACTACTACTACTACTACTACTACTACTACTACTACTACTACTACTACTACTACTACTACTACTACTACTACTACTACTATACTACTACTACTACTACTACTACTACTACCACTACTACTACTACTACTACTACTACTACAACGACGACTGCGACTACGACTACGACTACGACTACGACTACGACTACGACTACGACTACGACTACGACTACGACTACGACTACTACTACTACTACTACTACTACTACAAAAAATACTACTACTACTACTACTACTATTTCTGTTATTGCTGTTACTGAAAGTATTATTGCTCGCAGTATTATTGTCATTCGTATACTTGTAAGTATACTGAAACGTAATGATATCATACAACCATTACTTCTAATCATAATAGTAATAATCATGTTATTACTACTATGATCATTGGTGTTATTCCCTACCTAGGCTCTGCCTAGAGGGTTCTTACTCTCTTTCTTCAAGGGGCCGGGCAGTGGAACTCGCCCAGGGTGGCTCCCCCAGTCCCCGCCCCGCGGTTCCCGCAGTTGCGCCCCCTAGCTTTAGCTTTAGCTTCAGCATTAGCTTTAGCTTTAGCTTTAGATTTAGCTTAGCTTTAGCTTAGCTTCAGCTGAGCTTTAGCTTAGCTTTAGCTTAGCTTTAGCTTAAGTTTAGCTTAATGTTAGCTTAGATTCAGCTTCGATTTAGCATAGCTTTAGCATAGATTTAGCTTAGCTTTAGCTTAACTTTAGCTTAGCTTTAGCTTAGCTTTAGCTTAGCTTTAGCTTAGCTTTAGCTTAGCTTTAGCTTAGCTTTAGCTTAGCTTTAGCTTAGCTTTAGCTTAGCTTTAATTTAGCTGTAGCTTAGCTTAGTTTTAGCTTAACTTTAGCTTAGCTGTAGCTTAGCTTTAGCTTAGCGTTAGCTTAGCTTTAGCTTTAGCTTAGCTTTAGCTTAGCTTTAGCTTAGCTCTAGCTTAGCTTTACCGTTACTACTAATGCTGCTTTCCTAGGGGCTCCAACTCCTAGGTAGGATCGCACCGGGATAAATATCATTACCAGTCGTGTATTCCTCCTCCTCCCACTCCTCCTCCTCCTCCTCCTCCTCCTCCTCCTCCTCCTCCTCCTCCTCTTTTTCATCGCCGTCGTCGTTGTCCTCCTCCTCCTCCTCGTGATATTCCTTTTCCTCCTCCTCCTCCTCCTCCTCCTCCTCCTCCTCCTCCTCCTCCCCCCCTCCTTCTCATGCGATTATTCCTCGTCCTCCTCCTCCTCCTTCTCCTCCTCCCCTTCCTCCTCCTCTCCGTAGCCATTTTGGCTCAAGTCCGTAGCGTTTCGCTCAGGGCAGGAGTCTTTTGGCGTGGGGGAGGCAGCGGCCCCCGACAGCTCTCAGGGTCCCCACCCGTCCATGTCCTTTTAGTGTATTGTGGTCCCATCCCGCACCTCTTTGCCGCAATGTACTCAGAGCCACATGGCCAATGGCGCGAAACCGCGCGCAGATTCGCATTGTCGTTCTTGCTTGCATAAGCGTGCCGGTGCAAAGTTGGTCAACTGGGGAAGCAGTCTCAAGTGTCATGGATGATTGCAGAAGAAGGGTATGTTCGGTGGAAATGTTATGTCAGGCGCCCCTAGCACTCGGCTCAAGCAAGGCTCGGGCGCGGGTGATGGCCCCTCGGCGGCGGCGCCCAAGTCCAAGGTGGAGCAGGCGCTGCTGGAGGCTCGCGCGGAGATCGCCAGGCTCAAGCGCCAGCAGCAGCTGCAGGCGGAGGGCGACGGCGGCAGCGGTGCCTCCGAGGTGCAGGCCGACGGTGCGCCCAACGGCGAGCCGACGGAGCAGCTAGCGCTGGACGTCAAGCGGCTCGAGCAGAACTTGGCCATCGCAAAGACGGGGGTCGGCACCTGGGCGGAGGAGCAGCAGCGTGTGCTGGGCCAGCAGCTCACGGACGCGAGGCAGAAGCTTCTCGACTCCAAGCCGCTCCACACGCAGGTGCACGCCCTGGCCAATCGTGTCAAGGCAGGGGCGACCAGGGTCGAGAAGGCTAAGGAGGCACAGTTGCGAGCGGTCTCGCAGCTGGAGAAGGCGCAGACGGACGTCAGCAATGCCAACGCCAACCTCGAGCAGTTGCAGAAGCAGCAGATCGAGCTGAAGGGCGAGCTGGGCACCATGCAGAGCAGCTCGGCAGGTCGGCGGAGCCTGGCAACGGTGAGGGTGTCACGATCCCGACGCTGGGTGTCTCGACGGCGGAGCTGGAGGCCATCATCGCCAAGCTCACCGAGGGCACGGGCATCAACTCGGAGGCCGTGACATCGGCGGCCAGATCGACGAGCTCATCGTCGCCAAGAAGCCGAAGCTCGTGGCAGCTAATGGGGGTGGTCATGGTGCTGCTGGGTCTGCTGGTGCAAGAGACGCTGGCGTGCATCAAGGCCAGGCTCCCGAGCCAGTCTGGCAGCCAGACGGGACCGACACGAAGGAGCTCGAGAAGATCACGCAGCCTCTCGCCAGCTGGGCCACCGAGGCAGAGTTGCGTGAGATAGAGCCAGGCGGCTTGCGAAGGGGGGATATTCGCCTTTCTAAGCTCATGATGTGTGCCTTGTTTGTGATAAGTTGGTCGCCAGTCATGGGAAAAAGGTTGCGTTACTACAGTCAATATCACGTCGTGGGGCTCATGTGCTAGGTGTTTGGAGGATCTACCTTCGGACGCGCAAGTCATAGCCCTGCAGGAGCACCACATTGCAGATTCGGATCGCCTCGCCAGTTTTCAACGCGAGGTAGCAGACTACGGTTCTGTTGGCATTTGGGCGCCATCATTAGAGTCAGCATCGTCGGAGACAGGTACCAGTGCGGGGGTGGCGGTATTGGCGAGATCGTCGATGACAGTTGCAGCGCCACCCTTTGTGCAGAGCGCTATCATCGTCACTGGAAGGCTCGTGGGTGCATGCATCCACTGGGGAGTGAAGGGAGGCTTGGTGGCCCTGTCAATTTACTTAGTAGATTCAGTTGGCATGAATGGTGAGAATAAACGTATCTTGTTCCAGCTGGCTCAGTATACTTCGAAGCTCATGGCCGCACATGTGGATTGCATGGTGTGCGGAGACTTCAGCATGTCGATGGCAGATCTTGCGGGCTCGTGTCTTGCGGAAGTTGAGGTGCTGTTCGCTGTGCCACGGGCTGCCACATGCTGGCCGACGCAAGTGTCTAAGCATTCTACCATCGACTACTTTTTGATACGTACCAGCCTGGCTTCTCGCCTGAGGGAACCATGGGTGCAGGATGACGGCACTACTTGCATATGGAGCTGGCCGCAGACGACTTGGACATGAAGGTGAGGGTGCCAGTAATACCGAGGGGTATTATGGCTACCCCGCCTATTGGGTGTGCCAGAGGGGTCGAGAATTGGGCCCCAGCGCTTGCGTC